CTCACCTCATTGCACGCCGGATCATTGAAAACTGCGGCGCACCGGCTTTGCGACCCTCGTCAGACGAAGCGGCGTGGAAGACGAGAAGTTGATTGAAGTTTGCTTACGCAAGCGAGAGACATATCCGACAACCTTGGCTTCAAGGCTACGAAACTGAACGGGAGCAGCAGCCCAAAGACACCGCGAGTGCTTCTTGTGTTCACGGTTTCCCGCCAACTGAGCTCGGAAAGGAAAAGTGTTTCAAATGAGCTGGTGCTGCAGACCGCAGCAACACGGCCAAGCAACTAGTTCGAAGACATGAAGCCAGAGCAGTGTCTGCAAGAGTGATGCTCTTGGGCGAGCCTTCGTGCCCCCGCGCCTCGTCTAGGATGCTTGCACTGCCCAAGCCAAGCGCATGCATTCCCTCCAGTTGCACACTGCACAAAGTCCTGGCAAGAGCGGAACCGGTCGAAGCGGTCGCCCTGCGCTTTGCGCAGGGCAGCAAGGAACAAGGCCCTGGCTGGCATGCCATCGCGATCCGTCCAGGCTGCAGGTTGCAGCTATCCAAATCCAAACCAATGGCTCCTGGCCGGGCAAGAGCTTGAAATACTTCCAGGGAAATTTTAAACTATAGATCGACAGACAGAGAGACGGAGACAGAGGCAGAGACAAAGACAGAGTGTGAGGAGGGGTACAGAAGCGCGCCAAACAGCCATTAGCGGATAGTCTAGCGCCGTCTAGCGCTGTCCATTCGGACACTCAATCCTGTTTAGCGCACTCATGTGCCTTCGATGTTTTCGCTCTCATGGATTTATCTGGACAGTGGAATACACCGAAGATGTTTTGTCATAAACCCTCTGCCATCCCAAAGCGGCCAAGGTCTGGGTCGGATTGAAGCACTAGCAATCACCATAGGCTCGGGGGGTTGGCTTTTGTTCTGGGGTTTCGTGTTCAAATAATTCTCTGCAGGCACTCTCTTTACGAATTTCAGACTGATTGCCGGGAAGACCTGGTTAAGAAGCTCACATCCCACGCCATCGCAAAAGCCGACTATGTGCGAGTGTTTAATTTGGACTTGCACACGCAGCAAGGGATGCTGAAAAGAGAGCATTTGAACGGTTGCAACTACCCAACACTTCGCGGAGCACAAACCGACACCGGATGCTTCCCGTTTGGTCTGCATGAGGATGTTATTCCGTTGCGCACTACACGGACGGACACGAATCGATCAACCAACATGTTCTCACAGGATTCCCACATACATCAGTAAGTTTAACAAAAGCCCTGCCTTCCCGGACTGCTAGAGATGCCGCAGCTTGCAAGATCTTGCGCCTGACAAGCTCGAGGGCTGTTCTGTACAAAGTTGAAGGTCTTGATCTTTCGGCGGAGATGAGGGTTTAGGCACTTTTCAGGGATTTTCACGGCTCCGTATGCAAATGGCCTGTGCAGCATCTGGACCACCAGCCCATACATCTGCCTCACACTGTGGAAGAGATGGCAAAAGGCGAGGCAACAACCGTGGTGAAGTCAACGTGGTAAGGAAGCGTGCACATGTCATGCCACCACATTTGATGTCCAACCTGGGACGAAAAAAGCATCTGAGTTGGCAGCACATCCGTCGCACGGATCGCGTCCATGTGGTGAAAACAAAACAACTATGGTCCGACCGAGCAGGGACAATCTTGAGACTAGAACGAGCGCATGCCAAAAACTTGTGGTTGGTATTTGCCAACCCAATTGCTAGTGCTGCTAGTTCATGTCTGTGGCCCGTCCAAATCATGTTCGTGTTGCAGAGTGCACCTGATTTTCAGTGGAGCCCATGAACGAGTAGTGCTTGTGAACGCAACACGGCTTTATGCTTAGGATGCCGTTGAAAAGCAGGTAAAGAGCTACACAAATTGCTGGGAACCAAAGAAGGCGTCTCGTCACGTTTCATGATAAGTTGCTGAACAATAATTGTTGTTTACCAACAAGCTTGCATCATTCGAACAAAAACCCAAGCCTCCACTCCATGTTTGCAAGTTGGACTCTGGTTGCCATTTTTGCGGACTTGCTCTGCAATGCGGATGGAATCAAGCACATGCTGCCTGCAACAAACAACTGCGAAATGTTTAGAGCTAGTTTTAACATTTCATTGGTTTGCAAGCTTCCTTTTGGGGTCTCCACATTACTTCCAATGTACCCGTCCTCAGCTACTGAATGAATGAAACAAGGTTTGAAAGAAGGAATGAATGAATGGAAGAATGGAAAAATGGAAGGATGAGTGAATGAATGCGTGAATGAACGGTTGCTTGAATGAATGTACGGAATGAGCGGATGAATGAATGCGTGAATGAACGATGGGATCAAGGAAGGAATGAATGAACGTATGAACGAACCAACGAACGAATGAAAGAACGAACGAACGGACGACAGTGACAAAAGACGTAATACATAGAAGAATGGACGGGGAGTTCGAAATGACTGAACAGAATGACAAGTCACTAGTCAACTCATGAAGCGAATGAAACGATTGATGTGCAGGGGTTGGAGAAGTCAACGAACCACATGAACCAAATCATTGGAATGAACTCACAGCATGAACGGTTGACAGAAACAACCACTAAAGTCACTAATGAATGATTGCGTGCATGCATGGATGAATAATCAGTGAATGCGTGAGTGCGTGAGTGAGTGAGTGAGTGAGTGAATGAATGAATGAATGAATGAATGAATGAGTGAATGAGTGAGTGAATGAATGAATGAATGAATGAGTGAATGAGTGAATGAGTGAATGAGTGAATGAGTGAATGAGTGAATGAGTGAATGAGTGAATGAGTGAATGAGTGAATGAATGAATGAATGAATGAATGAGTGAATGAGTGAATGAGTGAGTGAATGAATGAATGAATGAATGAATGAATGCAAGAATGCATGAATGCATGAATGCATGAATGCAGGAATGCAGGAATGCATGAATGCAGGAATGCAGGAATGCAGGAATGCAGGAATGCACGAATGCACGAATGCACGAATGCACGAATGCACGAATGCACGAATGCATGCATGCATGCATGCATGCATGCATGAATGCATGCATGCATGAATGCATGAATGCATGATTGCATGAATGCATGAATGAATGAATGAATGAATGAATGAATGAATGAATGAATGAATGAATGCATGAATGCATGACATGCATGACATGCATGCATGCATGCATGCATGCATGCATGCATGAATGAAAGAATGAATGAATGAATGAATGAATGACTGAATGAATGAGTGAATGAGTGAGTGAATGAATGAATGAATGACTGAATGACTGAATGACTGAATGACTGAATGAGTGAATGAGTGAATGAGTGAATGAATGAATGCATGCATGAATGAATGAATGAATGAATGAATAAATGAATGAATGAATGAAAAAATGAAAAAATGAATGAATGAATGAATGAAAGAATGAATGGATGGATGGATGGATGAATGAATGAATGAATGAATGGATGAATGAATGAATGAATGAATGAATGAGTGAATGAGTGAATGAGTGAATGAGTGAATGAGTGAATGAGTGAATGGGTGAATGAATGAATGAATGAATGAATGAATGAATGAATGAATGAATGAAAGAATGAATGAATGATTGAATGAATGAATGAGTGAATGAATGAATGAATGAATGAATGAATGAGTGAATGAGTGAATGAGTGAATGAGTGAATGAGTGAATGAGTGAATGAGTGAATGGGTGAATGAATGAATGAATGAATGAATGAATGAACGAACGAACGAAGGAATGAATGAATGAATGAAAGAATGAAAGAATGAAAGAATGAATGAAAGAATGAAAGAATGAAAGAATGAAAGAATGAAAGAATGAAAGAATGAAAAAATGAAGGAATGAAAGAATGAAAGAAACAATGAAAGAATGAAAGAATGAAAGAATGAAAGAATGAAAGAATGAAAGACTGAAAGAATGAAAGAATGAAAGAATGAAAGAATGAATGAATGAATGAATGAAAGAATGAATGATTGAATGAATGCATGCATGCATGCATGCTTTCACTTTCACTTTCCTCGATGCACAGACGTCGACTGTGCTACGACTACTGGAGGACAGGCTTCGAGCCCGGCAACGCTGTGAGATTCACATCCTCCGCCCAGCAACCGGAAGCTTTGTAGCCCCCGGCACGAATGCCCAAAAGCGGGGCACTGACTACACAACTCTCTCATACACAAAAAGATACAAGTCCCTTCGCAAGGAGTTAACCCGCTGTCGCGAGATTGGCACAGCTGGCACTCCATCATCGGCAAGCCTAAAACAATTGGTTCTAGAACAGTAGAGGAGAGTTTGGTAGTGACCCATATCCGGGACCTCGCCCAGATGCACTATAGCAGAATTGAGTCGATACATTGCAGACTGACTGTGGAGTTCATCAATGAAAACAGGAAGCTCAATGAAAGGATCAGGATCAACAGCATACCGGCGCTTAGTCGCTCGCAGTCTGTCAGCTGCATAATGAAATCGACCGATTTGCAAAATGACTACAGGAGTCGGAACTAGAGCTGCATGCTTGTGCTCTTGCTCGTGCCACTTTCGAATCAGAAAACCAACAGAAGTCAGGCAGTCACTATCGTCTTCCAAGTTCCCAGGAGGTGGCAATAGCAGAGGAGCCGAGGCACCAGCATCAAAAGTGCGCGGCACACCCTCGTCGTCTAGGCCCCGTGCTTGCCACTGTAGTGAAAAGCGATCCGCTTCCAGCAGAGAGCTCCCACACAGGAAATTTAGGAACTCAGCCACATCGTGCTGATGGCTCGGAAGTCGCCAACCCTTGACGACCGAGAGCCATACTGGATGCATCCACAAGTGGACTACGGAGTCTGAGGCCCTACGCAGCAGACCACGAAGGAAATCCCCATGACACGACTTAAACACATTAAAGCTTTGACCCGGTTGGCAGGCTGCATGAAGGAGGGCTTTCAGGAGTGAGTTGGCATAACAGTAGTTCCTACTGTTGCCAAATCTGACACTTCCTACCGTGTCAGGGCGGCCAATCTCTTGCTCAAGGCACGCAACTGCATCCGTTCGTGGCGAAGATAGCAGCCTGCTGCCAGCAATGCCGCCGACTGTGCAAGGAGGTGTAGTGCACGCCAAGCCTTCTGAGCTGCTTCCACCCGGTTGCCCACCTCGAGGAACATGCCCAAAATGGGAGCCTTGTACTCCTCCGCCAGCTTGCGCATCCCGTGGAATCGTGTGACCACGAAGTCCTGCGAGCTGAGAATCAAGAGCTCCTGGAGGGCTTGGCGGATCGTGCTGGGTGTCTGTGCATCCGCCTTGGTGTCCACCACATGTCGGTTCTCCGTGGGGCTCCACCCCATCGCCTGTATCAGCGACTCGTCCTTGCTCAACCACTCCGTCTCGATGGCCTTCGACCTGGATGACGGAGTGGCCATCATCTCCTCGAAACCCTTCGCCACTCGCTCCAACACATGTTGAAGCAGGACCACCCTCATTGGTGAGGTTAGCTGCTCCGGTGATTGCTCCTTCGTGTGATGCCAGCCCGACCCCACTGCATAGAGGCTCTGTGCCAGGTTGCCAGGTCCTTGAGCCTGCAGGAACATGACATATGCGGTGTCCTGGCGGAAGATATTGAGTTGAACTTCTTGTCGAAGGACGATCGTCGTGAGGAGGCTCACCACCGCTTGCAGTTCCTCCAGCTTCTTCTGGCTGATCTGAGGCTCTTGTGGGCCCTGAGGGTTCGGAGCCTGTAGTGCCCCCTTCTGTGGTCGCTGACCTTGCTTGTTTGGCCAAGGCCTGTAGGAGCGTGTACCCCCCTTCTGGCCCTTGCCGCCTTTGCCTCCCTTGCCGTCGTTTGGGGACTCCTGCAGATGTTGGGGCTGCCACTTCTGAGGCCTGTCGTCCTCGTGTTGGTCGGAGAGGGCAAACGGGTCCTCCAGTCCTCCCACCATTTTCTGGATCATGTGCAGTTCCTTCGTGGCCTCCTTCAGGTCCTGGAGTTCCATGGGGAGCGGTCCCTCCCCCTCCTCGCGAAAGAACATGTTGGCCAAGGGTCCCGGATGGTCGGCCTGTTAGTCCTAGGTGGCCCCCTCGAGCAAGACGGTAATGGAGATACACTCCATTGAAGATCCCTATGCACGACCTCAAGTGAGCATCTTTCCGAGTGAAGCTCTGACCACAGTACTGACATGGGTTCTGAATGCCAATGTTGCTTTGAGTAATCTCCTGGATGCATTTCTGAATCAGCGAGGCTCGTTCAGGATGCTGTTTCTGCATGTGGCGGCGAACATACTGTGGTCGGACACACCAATGGTGGCACTCAAGGCAGTGATTATGCTTAGACCTGACAATCTCAGCCTGTGCTAAGACTTTCCAGTCGCTGTCCTTGGCAAGGGAGAGTAATGTCTCCGAGGCCACAAGGGACTCGTTCAGGAGAGGGAGCACCGTGGCTTCAGGGCAGTCTTGGCTATATATAGCACGAAGAAACTCACAGCTGCGGCTATTCACGTGATAAAAGAAGGCCGGCCAAGTCGTGAATTGATACCTACAGTGGCGGCATTGAGGCATCCCGTCCAAGGCGTGCTCCATAGGTGAGGCTTTGCGTGCTTGTACCCTCTCCACATCTCGAGCCTCCTGTTGTTCAGCATCAAAGTGTTTGCTGTATTGATGGTGGCCAAGGGAGGCTTGGGACACAAATTGTTGACCACATATCTCGCACTCGAAGGTTTCATGAAGGACTTTCTCCACACAAACCACTCTAGCTTTGGCTTCTGGAGAGGGCTCAAGACACTGTGGCTGCCAGAGGTTGGCCATTGTAGCAAAAAGCTGCCCTCTCACCAGATGTCGCCACTGCCGCTGCTCCTCCGTAAGTTGGAGTGAGGGGCCTAAGTGTGCATCAAGTTCCATTCGTCGGGTGAAGGCTTGTTGTAGGCGCTGGACCGGTGAAGGGAGCTTTAGTCTCTTGATAAGGTCCACGTTGGCCTCCCTGGTGAACATGCTATACGAGCGCACAATCGAGCGAGCTTGAACTATCAGTTGTGTCTGTAGTGCCTGCATTTCGGAAAGAGGGAGGCCTGTGCAGTCTAAACCATGAAGAAGAGCCGGCCAGATGCAACCTTGCCAGAGCTGGAGTCTGAGTCTTTGAGGAACCGAGCGGTTGCGAAGTATAATGCCCAGCCTTGACAAAGAGGCCCGAGCGAGGCGTAGCCTGTGATCGTAGGTTTCACGTTCGGGTCGCCGATATGAGATCACTGCTCCAAGGTATACGTGTTTCGGGACAACCTTGATGTAGACCGAAGAGCCATCGATGGAGAGCTTGTGGTGAGGGCCGTCCTTGAGTGTCACCACATACCTGTCCATAGTCTTGCTGGCTAGAGGGCCATGAAGTGTAAAGAGGACAACAGTCTTTTCCATGCTGACACAGAGGCCTCGTCTGTGAAGCGAGGTGAGCACATAGCGGACTGCAGCATAGGCCTTCTCCACATCCCTGCCACTCCTGATCAGCCACGAGAAATGTTTGTCATCTGCGTAGACCGTGCCAGTCCGGGCTATGTCAAGTAGCTCAGGGTCATGCAGCTGCTTCAGCACCCAGGCGCTGTACAGCGCCCAAAGGATGGGTGCTAATCCACATCCCTGCCTCAATCCGCGATTCAGACTTATTCGCTTCGTCTGAGATCCATGATGAACCTGGAGTCGAGCTTCGGCATGGATGAGGAGCACCGCTTGGATCAGGTGGTCTGGAACAGCAGCAGCTCTCAACGCCGCCTCCAAATCTCGTCTGGGAACATAATCATAAGCCCCCGTGATGTCAAGTGACAACTGGAGGCCTCCGCATACTCGGAGTCCAGTCTTGCCTTGCCGCCTTGCATGTGGATCATTCTGATTTTGTGCTATCAGAGTACGAACGGCAGCACAATGGCTTAGAACCCGATCTAGGGCCTGCTGAAGAGTGCGATGTGGCACATAAGCAAATTGCGGGACCTCCTTGAGGAAGTCCACAGCGAAGGGCTGTAACCGGCCTGCTAGGACGGCAGCGAGAACTTTGGCTTGCAGCGGAAGAAGGCATATCGGCCTCAAATGGGCCGGGGATCGGAGGGTCTTCCCAACCTTCGGTAAGAGTACTAACTCACTGAGGTTCCACTGCAAGGGGAGTGAGGCCTGGCCGGCCGAGAGGTGGGCCTCAAACTGCATGTGAAGGACTCCCACAACCTCCGAGGAGAAGAATTTCCATAGTGCAGCCGGTGCACTGGATGAGGGGAGAACCTTTCCAGGACGAAGACGTTGTAAAGCCTGTTGTATCTCCTCCGTTGTGATGTTCAGGTCCTGAGAGAGGCGTGGTTGTGAGGAGCACGGGGGTCCCATGTAGAGTTGTTCGAAGTGGTCAACTATTTGCTGGAATTCCTCCTCTTGAGTTTGAAGACTGCCATCTGGTCGTCGTAGCTGGAGTCTTCGGCGGGGAACCTTCGGTGCAAATTGCTTTGCAGCTTGATGGATGTTGGCATCTTGAACAACCGCCGCGACCTTGGCTGTCTTCCGAAGTCGGCAGGCCTTGCGGAGTTGTCTGGCATGCTGCTGCATTTGGCTCGAGAGTCTCCAGGCCTGGAAAAAGAGGCGGAAGGGGGTGCCCGCTCGCCTCCATTGCCCCATGTCCTGTCCCAGTCTTTGAAGCCCGGTCCGGAGCTGCCACAGGAGTTTGACATGTTGGGTAAGAGGGCCTTCGAAGTCAACCACCGGGCCTGCTTGGCTCGCCGTCCCACCCTTGACCTGGGCAATCGCCAGGGTCGCAGCCTTCCAGCCTGCAAGGAGTTGTGCATCAACAGAGGTCTCCACATCACTTTCTTGAAGCCCAGCGACCACATGGGTCCTCAGGAGCTGTGCAAAGTCAGGGTCGTGGAGGTTGTCCCTGACCTGTCGCGGGTGTAGACGATCTTTGTTGGGCGCAGGCAGCGGAGTCCGAGGATGTGGCAGGGATGCTGTCACAGGACGGTGACGACATCCGCTGACTGGCACAAAGGGGGCTTGGACCGGTCGAGCTTGCTTGGCAATGGAGTCGACTAGAGGGCCCCTCGAGATGACAAAGTCTATCTGAGTTCCAAGCCGATCGTCAGCAGCTCGCGGAGGAAGAAAAGTCCTCGCCGAGACACTCGGTTGGGACCAAGTGTTGAGCACGCAGCAGCGATGGGCTCGAAGGATATCAATTAGCTCGCCTTGATCCGGGTGGGGTTCTTTGCTCTGAAGGCATCCTGGTCCGCAGGTAGGAGGATCTTCACAAAGTGACTGATTCAGATCGCCGGCAACTATGCAGCCGTGCCTTTGAGGAGTCGCCCGAAGCCATCGGTCCAGGAGCTCCCAAACTCTCCTGCGTAGTTTCAGCAATGCCTCCTGTTTGTTGCCTTTCAGACTCGCCTTCTGGAGGTTCCACGAGTGCTGGTAGAGACATAGGCAATCTAACGGGGTGGCAAGTAAGAGTCGCAAGTGGAGAGCACGACCTGGGATCAAGGCCGCCGTTCTGATCTGATCCGCATTGACCAAGCCTGCCCGGACGAGGCACATGATTCCTGATTTGTCCGATTTCTCTCCGCCCGCGCTGTGAACCACGTGCCAGTTGACAGCGCCTTTGTTCGTGAACTTCGTGGTGTACTCCAGGTCTGCAGGCCAGGCTGTTTCTTGCAAGAAGCAAATGTCCACTCGTCGGTGGGCCTCTGCCTCAGCCTGAAGCCATGCAATTACTTCATGGTACAAGGTGTCATGCAGGCCTCCTGTGTTCCAGCTCAGCACCCTCAATCTGCTGGCCTGTGTCGGTCTGACGAGGGTGTGTCTGTCAGTAGGACCTGCTGATACTCGTGGCCTGGAGGGAGTCGTGCCACTCTGCTGGAGTTGCCTTAAAGAGACTCTCCGGCCCCTATACCAAGTATAGTGCTGTGGGTTGAGCTCTGCACGGCGGATCGCTCTTGCATAAGCTCGCTTCTTGGGCTGCCGGGCACCTGAGTGGTGCGGGAAGCTGTGGCTGTCGCCA